CATCAAACTGAATCAACACTTCACATTTCAGCACGTAATCAATCAATCTGAAAATTTGGTAAAACCCAGACTTCTGACCTCTACCCATCAAATTCTGATTTTGCAAATGGAGATTTAGTTTCCTTTCAGGTTATATATTAGCAAGAAATAGAATTATAACCAGAGCCAGAACTTGAACCCTGGAACTCAGACATGGGATGTAGATATTTCAAGTGGTATCTCAATCACTATACCAAACACCTGCCCCTGCTATATACTTCCTTAATTACCACCACCATTCTGTGAATTGTCTGTAGTCTCCACTTCACAGATGAGAAAATGTTAAGAGGCAGAAGCGGGCACAAGGTTCATTTAATGAGGAACTGACCCTGGATTCAAACTTTTATTTTTTAAATGTCCCAGCATTTGTTAGCATTAAAGGATCACCCTTTCATGGAGCAAAGACACCCCCCCCACACACACACACAACTGGAAAAAAACAGTATTTGGAAAAAAAAATCTGTCTCTATACTTTTATATCCAAGGTTTTTTAAATTTACTGCTTTCTTAAACTTCAGCAACAAATGCAGAAACCAACCTATCTATATCAGATTGGTCAAAAAGTCTATTTTTATTCCTCATTGCTATGTGTAAGATACCTCGTTATACATTTGGAGGCTGTTGTTTGGATTTAGTATTTTAAGTAGTGTTCCCTTATTGTATTTGAGGCTTCAGGCTATGTTAGCAAATAGTATAATTTTAGAGATGTGAAGAAATGAAAATGCCATGTGGTTTGAGAATAATATGATAAAAAGTAAATTCTCATTATTCAAATAGATTTCCTTCTAAAAAAGGCTACTGATAACAATTATCATCAATCACTAGCAACACTTTTTGAGGGCATATTATCTTCGAAGAATTAAACGAAGCATTTCATAAGACATTATCTCCCATAATCCTCTTATATCAGTACCATATTGTCAATAGGTAAATCAACTTTCAGAAGTTAAATAAATCACCAAAAGCAACAGTATGTATAAATTACAACTCAAGGACCCAATCCCAGAAGACTACTCCAGGCCTTAGATATTAACATCATATTCTACTGTTTCACAAACCAATGACCTCCACTACCCTGCCCAAGCCTCCAGAGCTCCTCTTGAAAGTCCAAATATCTAGGCTGATATGGAAAGGCACTGGAGTATTTCCGTAGTCTAACCTGCCCAGAGATATTCCGTGTGAATTCCTTTCATGCTGCTTCCATTCCAGATGGTTTATGTGTCTATCTATTAAATATTTGCCAACTGCCAACAACCTCTAATGTATCCTTTACTGATAATGTAACATTTCCCTCTACTGTCTCACTGCAACCCAACTGTATTCAGTTCATTGAGCGTTTCAAGCCATGGTAATAAATAATAAAAATAATCCTCTTCATCATTGGTATTATGGTGATGATGTGTGAACACTCTCAATGTCTGAATCTCATCAGGGAAGTCAGCAGGATTTCTGGGATACTTGATTTAGCCATGTTTTTGGTTCTTGATCTCTGTACTGCTTCTATGAGCACCAGATGCAGAGCCTTTTTAGGATGCACATCAATGAGATCAATGATAGAAGGATACATCAATGAGACTCTTAATCTAAGGAGAGAATGGGATGCAAAAATTTAAGTCATAAAGTATGACATGAATTATAGTTTCAAATTCTGTGTCTGAGTTGAAGCTTCCATGAATTTCCATAACTCTTCTTGTCTGTACACTTGATTGGCACCTGTATTCATTGTCTTGGGCTGCTGGCATTTTTCCCATGTGTTCATATCATAAGCTCACTTCAGAAATCAGAAATTCCCTGAAAGTTGGAATTAAACTTTTGATTTCTTAAATGAACAGTCCCTACACCAAACTCTCTGAATCCATTGTACCATCTGTTCCCCATCCTTCTCCACACAGCACTAGAGTATGTTCAGGACATATTAAGAAATTTGACTATATACCTAAAACTTCTCCAGGAAAGAATGTCTTAAAGAGGAATGTGACTCAAAAGCAAAAGGGAAATATAAAAGGAAAAATAAAAATAATTTTTACTGTAAAAAACAAATTCTCTAATAAATCTGTGGGACATTTGAGCAAATAGGAAAATGGGCAAAGGCATTACAAAGAAAGTAACATGAAAAGTTGTTCAGCTTCAATTTTATTTAAAGAAAGGCGAATTTTAAAATTATTTGATATTTTCCACATACCTAATAAAATACTTGAAATTTTTTTGATGTTCACTATTGACAAAATTATCAGTTTGTGTATTCCAATTCATGTATTAGTATGACCCATTAGAAATATTGGTACATTTATACAGTCCCCTGCATTTGTTATCGCATATAGGATAAATTGGTATTTATCAATATGACATGGAAGACCATGTCAAAATATTCATAAAAATTCTGAATTTATACATGTTTAATAGTTCTATAGTTATCAACTCTCCTATGGCTATCCTTTTACAAAAATGCTAAACATAAAAAGAAATAGCTGGGGCCAGTGCCATGGCTCACTTGGTTAATCCCCACCTGCGGCGCAGGCATCCCATATGGGCACTGGGGTCTAGTCCCTCTTACTCCTCTTCCAGTCCAGCTCTCTGCTGTGGCCTGGGAGGGCAGTGGAGGATGGCCCAAGTGCTTGGGCCCTGCACTCATATGGGAGACCAGGAGGAAGCACCTGGCTCCTGGCTTTGGATCGGCGCAGTGCCAGTCGTAGCAGCCATTTGGGGAGTGAACCAATGGAAAGATCTTTCTCTCTGTCTCTCTATGACTCTACCTGTCAAGTTAAAAAAAAAAAGAGATGAATTTATAATAAAAAAAAATAAAGAAATAGCCATGGCCAGCATTGTGCCATAGTGGTTTCAGTTTCCACTTGAAATGCTGCTTTCCTTTATTGAATTACCTATTCATATATTGCCTGCTCCACTTCCAACCCAGCTTCATGCTAATGTGCCTGAGAAGGCAGAGGAAGACAGCTGGAGTACTTTTGCCCCTGACACCCGCACCCATGTGGGAGACCTGAAGGGAGTTCTAGGTTCCTGTCTTCAGCCTGGCCCAGCCCTGCCTGTCATGGTCCTTTAGGAAGCAAACCAATGACTAGAAGATACCTCTTTGCCTCTTCTTCTCTTTCTCTGTGCCTTCAAATAAATAAATCTCTTCTTTTAAAAAAAGGAATATCTGCTAAAAATTGGTTCAATGGTCAAAACTGCAAATAATCTACATAAATTTATAAATCTATCCATAGATAGCTAGTTAAAAACATATTCTACTATACCTAGATTAGGAATCAAAAATACTTTCTGTAAACCTCCAACTATTAAATATTTTAAGCTTTAAAGTCCATAAATCTGTTATAACTACTCAACTCTGCAGAAAAGCAGGCACAGATAATATATAAATGAATGGATCTGGCTATGTTGCAATAAAATTTTATTTACAAAAATAAGTGGGAAGACAGAGTTGACTCAATGGTCACAGTTTGTCAATCCTCAACCTAAATGAAAGGAAATTTAAATGAGAAAATATTTGTAAATACTAAACCAATGCCTGTCCCAGTGGTAAGTTATATTTTTCCAAATTCTGTCTCTGTTTTCATCCCTGAGAAAGAGAGTAAGTTAAGTCTCTTCCAGGAGGAAGAGCTAGAGACAGAGCAGAAGGCCCTGTCAAAGGAGGATGAGAAGAGAGGAGGAGAAGACCCTTCCAGGTCCAAAAGTTGACAAAGGAGGGAGAAGTGGAGATTGGGAAGCAAGCAGTTAGAAAACGGGGCTCTTTATCTCCCTCCTTGGGTCATAAATCCCTGAGAAAGGGTTATTAGAAAAGAAGAAAAACCTAAAAGAAGAAACAGCAGGTGATCAGTTCCTCGTTTAGAATTTCAAAAGATGTTGAGGCATTTGGGCTGGTGGTTAAGCTGCCCATAAGTTTTATGTAAGCCCGTGTCTTGCTTCAGAGTGGGTTTGATTCCTGGTTGTGGCTCCTGCTAATGCAGATCCTGAGAAGCCATAGTGATCGCTCATGTAATTGCGTCCCTGCCTGAACTAAGGCCTGAACTAAGTTCTTAGATCCCAACATTGGACTTAGCCCTGTCCCAGCTGTTGCAGGGCACTTAGGGGAGCGAATCTGAGGATGGGGGCTTTCTTTGAGTCCTTCTCTCTGCCTATACAACTCTCAAATACATAAATAATACAAAGGAGACTTCCATGTTATGTAGGACCACATCAGTTGGTGTGGAAGTAGGAAAATAAAAAGGATGACACAGGACAGAGAGGGTGAAGTACTTATTCAGCACTGTTGGTCAGTATCCCTACAATACCACCACCAAGCACAGTCAATTGTCAATCTTTTTTGATTCTGTATTTCCAACTCTTGCTAACATGTATCAGTAACCCTGCAATCCATGCTCAATGCGATACACAGTAATTTTATAAAATGCACACAGTGGTGAAATATTGAGGCACCCAACATTCACATTCCCATCTAAAGTAAAAAAAAAAAAAAAAAAAAAAAAAAGCCTTGCTTCAACTCTGATGCTGTAAACAAGTATCATTTTCATAGTTCATTTAGCACCACATTTTCTACATTTTTCTGCCTTTTGTTAGTGAATCTGAAGTTTAAATAGTCTCTACGTATGATACCCAGTGCTGTCATTTGTAAGCACAGAAAATGCACCTTACGGGAAAATGTATGTATTAGATAAGCTTTATTTAGGCATGAGTTGTAGTGAGTCCAATGCTAATGAATCAAAAATGTATATTAAATAATGTCTTTGAATAGAAACATCCCTAATGTAGGTTATATAATGCAATGTAAGTTAACAAAAATATTCTTACCAGAGGCTAACATAACCCTACCTCTATCTATCTTATTCTTAGAAGCCACTGTTCAATATTCTCCAAGTCAGGGCTCACCATGAATTTACAGAATACAGATACTATAAATGAGAATCCACTGTAAAATAGAAAAGAATCGTAAGTTTTATGTAACTTACAGGAATATACAACATCACTGTTACAGCTTGGGTATGTTTTCAGCATGTTTTCCAAGGGTTCCTGTGATGCAGGCTTGGTCCCCCGGGTGGTATTTTTGGGAAGTGGTAGGAAATTTTGAAGAGAGATCCATAGGTCAACTGGAGGCATGATCTCAGAAGTCATTCTGAAACTTCAGTATCTCTTTTGCTTCTGTTTTGGTGACAGGATCTCTCCAGCACACATGTGGTTCTGCCTCTGTGATGTCATTCATTAAGTGGTCCTCACCAGACACAAGCCAATGCTAATGTCTTGCCCTTGAATCTTCAGAGCTATAAGCTCAATGTCTCTTTATAAAGTTACTCAACCTCATATATTTCATCATAGCGACAAAAACTAATAAAATTACTGAGATGAGGAGATGAGAATCCATCAGTTTCTTCCATTAGATTTTTGTAAGACCAGTTGAGAAGTCACCTACCACAGAGTCTTGGGAGATAGCAGCGTGCAATGTAATTCAGGGCCCAGAAGGAAAATGTGGCCATCTTTGAAGTCACTGTCACTGACCACAGGGGAGGAGGTCTAAGACAGCAAAGATACTTGCCTGGGTTCTGGTCTAATCAGATGCATCTCATTGAACACCTGCATAGAGTTCTCAGGACCCACTCTAGACTAACCAAGACTGCTCAAAATAAAGGTTCACAAAAACCTGGTAATGACGTAAGGAGCTCCCACGGTCATTCTGAGTCCTAATTGCTTTCTGACGCAACAAAATCCATCCTGTGGAACAACTTTAAAAAACCCCAAAAGACCAAGCATTTACTCTAACGAGATGAAATTCCTCAAAGAGAGACTATGTAAAATCAAGAGGAACCATCTTAAATCCAAAGGGGTTAAATCCAAAGTGTTGACATTTTATCTCATTTATCCCAGTCCAGTCACTCCATCTACGAGCAGAGTGGGGCAGGTTCATCAGAAAAGTTAGTTGAACTACAGATATTTTCAAAAACTAAAAATCAATTATTTTTAAGTTATAGAAAGCTCATAATTCCACAATTCTGTGAAGTATTTCAAGGAGGGAAGTAATTCTACAATGCTAACTTAAAAATGTTAAAATACATTTTTTAAAATGTAAAAAAAATACAGTTTCAGGACATACATAATACATACTATGGCTTCAGTGTTTCTTATCTGCAGAATTCAAGTTGCAATTTAATTGGCAAGTTAAAGGTTTTGGGACGAGGGACACGGGGAGGTATTTAGTTTTAAGGGCTCCACTCTTACGAGTGAACAGAGGCCACTGGAAAAAGGCTTTTCAGAGCAGGTTTTCTGTCCTTGCTCTTCCACCATATGATGATGCATGAAGAAACTTCTTCTCTGAGACTGAAGTGTCATCCTTGCAGAAACATGGCAATGAACTTGGTGCAACTCTCTGAATACCCAAGGGCTTTATGGAAGGCAGAATTTCACAACAGTGACTGAGGACACCTTGTAGAAGAAATCACTAAGAAAATCACTGAATGAATTCCATGACTTCCACTAATTTCCTATAGTGAAGAAGAAACTATTTAAGGATGGGATTTATAACCAAAATGAAATCAGGACATACATATTTGCAAAACACCCAGTTTGGTCAGCTAAGAAATTTTTAAAAATGTATGTAGGAGAGAAAACCAAGGTGTGATGTAACATTTGGAAAAAGGATAAATATGATAGTAATAAACAAAGAGGAATTATTCATCAGGGAAATGGGAGAATGATCCTAAGTCACTCCAGAGGTTATCAAGGCTGCCAGGTCCATTAAAAGCACAGAATGCTAGGATTCAAGGATTTGTGAAGATGGTCTCAGGGTACTCACAGGACCTCAGCATTTACTGCCTTGCACAACCTCAAGTTTCTGCTCTCCACACATCAGGTCAGTGCCCCTCAGCTACTCTGGCTGTGGCTCAAAAGCACCCAGATGTGCGTCCAGTTAGCTCTCTGAAGGTCTACGTCGTGAGACTTGGCAGCATCCCTGTGATGTAGATGCTACAGATGCACAGAAGGCAAAAGCTGTGGTGGCACGGTGACCTTTACCTGTATTTCAAAGGATGCTACACAAATCTGCCCCAGGCCAAGAGCCATAGGGGCAGAACTAAAATTTCCCAGGCCTGTAGAACCACCAATGTGCAACATTATGCCGGGAGAGCTACTCACAAGAGACTCCATCCTGTGGGAGCTACTCAGTGGCCTGAGCAGGGTGTGGCTGCCTGAAGTCCTAGGGATTGGACCTTTACAATATATTTAGAAAGCACGATATAGAATCAAAACAGATTATTCTGGAATCTGAAGCTTTAATATATTCTATTGGGTTTTAAACTTATTTGGTTTCTGTTATTCCTTTCTTCTCTCTGATGCTCTCTTGGGGGATGGCAGTTTCTATTCTATCTCTGTTGCACAATCATATTTTGGAAGTAGCTAACTTGTTTGTTTCCAAAGGCCCATAGTTGTATGAGAACTTGCTTCAAGCTGAATCATGACTTCAGTCTCACCCACCTCTGATTTAGATGAGACTCTGGACTTCTAAGTCGACACTGGAAGGAGTTAAGATTTCTGGCATTATTGGTATGGATTGAATTCATTTTTATGTGAAAAGGACATGACTTTTAGGTGCTCAGGGGTTTAGGCTGAGATATGAATGTCCCATCAAGAACACATGTTGAAATTTAATACCCATTTTAACAGGTGGGACTTTTAGAGTTGATTATGCAGTAAGAGTTCCCCACCTCATGGCCCAATTTGGATTGATGCCATTTAAAAGGCTAAGTTCTAGATCAGTTATTTTGTCTATCAGTTGGGATGCTCATGGCCTCATCAGAGTACCTGGGTTCAATCTCCAATTCTAGCTTCTTGGCAATGCAGACCCTGGGAAGTAGTGGGAATGACTCAAGCAATTTGGTTCCTGCCACCTACAAGACAGACCTAGATTGCCTTTTTTGGCTCCCAGATTTGGTTCTGGTCCACAATTTGGAGACTAAACCTGCAGACGGGATATCTCTGTGTCCCTGTTCCTCTTAATTAACTAGTTACTTTTTAATATTTGCTTATTTGAGAGGCAAAGTAACAGAGATAGATCTTTCATCCGTTGGTTTACTCCCCGAATGGTTACAATGGCCAGGGCTGGGCCAGGCTGAAGCCAGGAACTTCATTTGGGTCTCCTATGTGTCAGGGGCCCAGGTATTTGGGCCATCTTCCATTGCTTTCTTAGGTGCATTATCAGGGAGCTGGATCAGAAGTGAAGCAGCCAGGACTTGAATCAGTGTTCATAGGGGATGCTGGTATAGAAAGCTGAGGCTTAACCCATTGCACCACAACACTAGCTCCTAATTAAGCAATTTACCAGTGAGTGTACCTCCCTTTTGCCTCTTAGACGAACAGTATTCTTCAGGGTAAAGGTGAAGTTTCATGCACTTCTGTAGGATGAAGCATTAAAGCACTGTCTTACAGATGAATTGCAAACCTGCCAGTGCTTTGATTCCCAAAACTGGGAGCTCCTACATCCTTGTTCCCAAGTTGCCTAGCACATGCTATACTGTTACAGCAGCGCAAGAAGACTAAGGCACATATGAAATGTTTTGTACACTAAAATCTATCTGTACACGTTTCTTATGGATGCATGCAGTATTTCTGGAAGGATGCAGAGAAAAAATATTTCAAAAATACTTTAATCCATAGTTCTGTAAAAGCAGGACTGTGTCTTATCTCCATTATTTGCTCTGCTCAGCATGTTGCCTTGTACACATCAGATACTCCCTTAATATTTGTGGAATAAGCAAATGAATGAATAAATAATTGAACAAATAAGAAGAGAGATGTGTCTGGAGGCTTTTTTGTACTTTATATGCTTTATCATTTGCACTTATGAATATGAGCATGTATTACATGCAGAATAATAAAAACAATCTAAAGTGATTACACTGCTGTTTATCCTTCAAAGGTTGCTAAGCTCCTTTCAACATCATAATGAAATTCTCCATTCTCTGCTAACTCTTCTGTCTCCTCTCACTCTATGTTTTCATCCACAGAATCCCAGATAGTTACTTCTCCACATCTCCCTTTTGTATGTAAGATCTAACTGTGGCTATAGCTGATCTTACCAGATGTAGATGCTTGATGTGAATGTACATGTGAACTTGCAAGTGCCTGAGAGGTGAAATGTTTGACTCTCTGTTGGGTGCAATGATAAGTTATGTATTTGGGAGTTAAGGTGTCCATCCTAGGCACCGAGTAGCCAAGCAAGCCAATGACTGAGAAGGAAGGATGCAGCAGACAGGCCAGGCAAACAGAAGCCTAGAAGCCACAACACACCTAGAAAGGGAACCTTAAATCTCCTAATGTATTTCTACTTGTGTTTTCATTTTGAGGGCCAGTTGCATCCCTATCCTAAGGTACTAAGAAACAGTATTTCATGTTTCATTAAAAATAAACAAAACTATTTTGCATAAGCCACTTCAAGCTTGTTTCTAATAACAGTCATTGAAAACTATCTGCCTTGCTTCACTGCCCACTTAGAGAAGCTTATAGAAGAGCATTCCATATTTAGCCCTCAACAACCTCTGCATCCTCTTCTCCTATTCCATGACATACTCCTTTCCTTAGCTTTGAGACAACAGAAAAATGGCTATAGCTGTGGGGTTTTTATAGCTACTAATCCAAAAGATAAAAGTGGTAAGAAATCTCTCATCTTTCTTCCCTCCTTTAACACACTGCATTTTTATCTTTTTCATGTATTACCTTACTTAAGACATGTTTTATTGTGGACTATTTCCTAATTTAGAGATGAACAAACACAGATTTGGACAGAAGTAATGTGACCAAGGTCAGAAAAATCAAGTAGCAGCTGAGCTGGGACTAGAACTCATTGTTTCAGCCTCTTCTGTGATCCAAATCTGTTTCCTTCACCTGTAATGCAGAGCCTTCAGCTCAATCTCAATGCCCTTAGCCCCTTGGTCCACCTAGAATTTAATCCCCTAGGCTTTCTGAGCCCTAGCTTCTAGGTATCAGAGGTATGTAAAAGCCAAAAGGAATTTTATTGGAAACTGATCTCCCAGGCAGAAATCAAAATGACATCACTTACAATAAACAACTGCAGCATAATCTTGAAGGAAAGGTTGGCTGTGTCTCAAACAAGGTCAACTTTTGGCATCCATGTGAAATAAATATAAGGCAGCTTATCTTTTTGA